AAAATACCAATTTGTATATTGATCTAAATTTTGGAAGAAGATTATGTCAGATTGTACATCAGACTTGGTTGTACTGATCTAAATACCCATCGATATGAAACACACATTTCTGACAATGCAGCATGTTCTTGTGGATACATATATGAAAATGTTATCACGCTATTTCTTTTCCTGTCCTTTTATAATGATGTAAGACATGATTCATTCTTCTACTCCGAGGGAGTTGATCTTAACACTATATTGAATGGTAATGCAAATTTTACAAAAAACTACTAATCTAGACTAAAAGCAGTACATTCATACTTCATTCCAAAAGGTTTAAACTAACGTGAGACTATAAATCCCGCATATATATCAGTCTTCTACTCATTACGCCAAACTGTTGTCCCTGGCCACTTGCTTTTGTTAACGTATTTAGTTTATCGTCATGTATTATTTTGTTTAATGCCTTCATGAATATAACTTGTACCGATCCAGATTCATTGAATACAAATGTGTTTAAATCATAACGTAATCGGATATCTAGTCTCACCTGGCGGGAAAATTAAACTCTATTTTACAAGCACATTATCACTGAATTTATTTCCCGAGGACAGTTTGAAGAAAGGAATGATAAGAAACAATTTCTAAAATAATATTTTAAAGGAATGAGGTTACGGGTTAATGTCGCTCTCAATAGTCGTATATGTGACTTAAGGTAATCTGATCGATTTGTATTTAATAAGGGAAACATATCTGTATACCTGTATGACTTTTATCTGTATAATGTACATGAATCTTTATCAAAATAATTGTCATCCCTAAATCGGACGAGCACGTTTTCGGCTTAAACTCCAAATCTGTTGACCGACAAAATAATTCTTACTCCTTGGACAATGCAAACAGTACAAACAGTCGCTGTTAATACTGGCAATTATTTGTCAATGTATAATATGTACGTAATTCATTATTTGTTCAATGTATCCTTTAAAGTTTCTGTTTAAAGATTGAAGGAAGAAAGCGGAAGTAGTATGAATAAAATGAAAATAGAAATAGCGACTATTCTGATACATTAGTATATAGATTATTGCCATGACCCGCCACCGCGTTTTCGGCATGATAGTCACATAAAACCTCTAAATAGTGTCATAACTCAACGAATTGCTTTTTACACAGAAATCCGTGGATCGTTTTAAAATCACCTACGTCTGTACAGCCAGGCTCGCTGACTTGGTTGATGCATGTCATCGTATCCCAAATGCGTAGATGGATGCTCATTATGTCAATCACTGGATTGTCTGGTCCAGACTTGATTATGTACAGATCTATTTATGTAGCTGGGATATTGCTAAGATTGGCGTTAAACAACAAACAGACAACCTAACAATACGTATATGTACTCCCCTGTGTCTAATATTAACTCCCTTGTGTCGTACACGTACTCCGCTGGCGGAACACAGACTCACCGTGTATGTATGAGCAATCCTGTGATGTTTACGTACTCCCTTGTGTCTTATAGAAACTCTCCTGTGCCGTATACCAAATCGCCTGGCTCATAAACGTTCTTTTCTGCGTCGTATATAAGTACTCGCATATGTGCCGTATATAAACTCCCCTCTGCCGCACACGCACTCCCATGTGCCGTATTCGTACTCCCCTCTGCCGTACACAAACTCCGTATTCGTACTCCCCTGAGCCGCACACGCACTCCTATGTGCCGTATTCGTATTCCCCTCTGCCGTACACAAACTCCGTATTCGTACTCCCCTGTGCCGCACACGCACTCCCAAGTGCCGTATTCGTACTCCTATGAGCCGCACACGCACTCCCCTCTGCCGTACACGAACTCCCCTCTGCCGTACACAAACTCCGTATTCGTACTCCCCTGTGCCGCACACGCACTCCCCTGAGCCGTACACGAACTCCCCTCTGCCGTACACGAACTCCGTATTCGTACTCCCCTGTGCCGCACACGCACTCCCATGTGCCGTATTCGTACTCCTCTGAGCCGCACACGCACTCCCCTCTGCCGTACACGAACTCCCCTCTGCCGTACACAAACTCCGTATTCGTACTCCCCTGTGCCGCACACGCACTCCCTAGGCCTGAGCCGTACACGAACTCCCCTCTGCCGTACACGAACTCCGTATTCGTACTCCCCTGTGCCGCACACGCACTCCCATGTGCCGTATTCGTACTCCTCTGAGCCGCACACGCACTCCCCTCTGCCGTACACGAACTCCCCTCTGCCGTACACAAACTCCGTATTCGTACTCCCCTGTGCCGCACACGCACTCCCCTGAGCCGTACACGAACTCCCCTCTGCCGTACACGAACTCCGTATTCGTACTCCCCTGTGCCGCACACGCACTCCCATGTGCCGTATTCGTACTCCCCTGAGCCGCACACGCACTCCCCTGAGCCGTACACGAACTCCCCTCTGCCGTACACGAACTCCGTATTCGTACTCCCCTGTGCCGTACACGAACTCCCCTCTGCCGTACACGAACTCCGTATTCGTACTCCCCTGTGCCGCACACGCACTCCCATGTGCCGTATTCGTACTCCCCTGAGCCGCACACGCACTCCCCTGAGCCGTACACGAACTCCGTATTCGTACTCCCCTGAGCCGTACACGAACTCCCCTCTGCCGTACACGAACTCCGTATTCGTACTCCCATGTGCCGTATTCGTACTCCCCTGAGCCGCACACGCACTCCCCTGAGCCGTACACGAACTCCCCTCTGCCGTACACGAACTCCGTATTCGTACTCCCCTGTGCCTCACACGCACTCCCATGTGCCGTATTCGTACTCCTATGAGCCGCACACGCACTCCCCTCTGCCGTACACGAACTCCCCTCTGCCGTACACAAACTCCGTATTCGTACTCCCCTGTGCCGCACACGCACTCCCCTGAGCCGTACACGAACTCCCCTCTGCCGTACACGAACTCCGTATTCGTACTCCCCTGTGCCGCACACGCACTCCCATGTGCCGTATTCGTACTACCCTGAGCCGCACACGAACTCCCCTGAGCCGCACACGCACTCCCATGTGCCGTATTCGTACTCCGTATTCGTACTCCCCTGTGCCGCACACGCACTCCCATGTGCCGTATTCGTACTCCGTATTCGTACTCCCCTGTGCCGCACACGCACTCCCATGTGCCGTATTCGTACTCCCCTGTGCCGCACACGCACTCCCATGTGCCGTATTCGTACTCCCCTGAGCCGTACACGAACTCCCCTGAGCCGTACACGAACTTCCATGTGCCGTATTCTTACTCCCCTGAGCCGTATTCGTACTCCCCTGTGCCGCACACGCACTCCCATGTGCCGTATTCGTACTCCCCTATGCCGCATACGCACTCCCATGTGCCGTATTCGTACTCCCCTGAGCCGTACACGAACTTCCATGTGCCGTATTCGTACTCCCCTGAGCCGTACACGAACTCCGATGTACCGTACACGAACTCCGATGTGCCGTACACGAACTCCCCTGTGCCGTATTCATACTCCCATGTGCCGCACACGAACTCCCCTGTGCCGTACACGAACTCCGGTGTGACGCATGCGAACTGCCATGGCCATGTGCCGTATTTAAACTCCACTGTACACGAAATGCCAAGTGACACACGCGATGTCCCTCGTGTCTTATAAACGTAAATCTCTGCGCAGATCTCATTGGGCCAATACAATAATTCAGATGACTCAAATATAGCAAAATATGTTATCCTCATTTAGCTGGGGTGTTCATACAATCACTAAACAGTTCAGATAATACAAATGAAGATCGACAGTTGTGGAAATAATCAGAAGTTTTACTACACCGAGGAACCCACTGCAGCTTCTTCACAGGATCAACGTGTATGCTGGTTATATTATACGGTGTTATATATAACGTGTTACATTCTTTGTATGTTTCGCGCTTTCAACAGCAAAATATTTATAGACAAACTGATACCATGACGCATCTTGGACTCAATTCCCCAAAGCGATCTCAGCCGGCTATAGCGAATGTCCGTCTATGTGGAAGCATAGGAGTTATTTGTATAAATAATGTTAGCGCTGGAATAGTTTTGTGCATGTGCGTCATCACATAAAGCTGACGGAGCGTGTATTCCACTCATGATACCTGGTGTCAATATAACTCTACAGCCATCCGCGAAGACAGGGTCTCTAATCAGGCGCTTCCATCTTCAACTCTTTTTTCTTTTAACAGACATACGGACTTCAATAACCATGAAGCATTCTGGTTTTTTTATTAAGTGGTCGATGTGTTATCAATAATGCATGTATGATACATTATACAATTATACATATGTACCTTGTTTCGAAAGTGACTTTTTTCGAAATGTGCGCATAAGGGCATGGATTTAGCGCATCATATATATCATTATGTGCAGATTAAATAGAAAATGCAGAAAAGGGGATTTGGGTGATCCTGGCACAGACAGGCTGGTTAGTCTCATCATCAATGGGACTTGTCCCAGGAAGCGCTGCCTAGTCAAACCCACCCACCCCCCAACACTGCAGCCTTCTGCATTACCCGGATTGTCAGAAGGGCTGTATTCTTGGCAGCAAACCCGGATACTCTCCCAATGTCAGTCAACAGATTGGGAGGTACCAAACATAAGGCACCGGAGAACAATGTGAAGTCGGACTACTTGGTACTTGGGATGCAAGCGTGACATTTCGAAAGTGAGGTCCGCCTATTTGCCATGTATTTGCTGAATCTTGTCAATCACATTAGTGTCAAAAGGGACACGATTCTCCACATGGGTACAATGTGTGAAGCCCATCTTTGGTGTCCCCCGCCTTGAGATTGCTGGAATATAATGCTAAAAACATGCCCATTCATTACTCACTAGATGTATAATGCGTGGGCATAAAGCTATGCTACCCACAGAATAAAGCTTAAACTATCTTCTTTTTAAATGATAAACACACAAAATACATATTATCATTTAACACAGTTCATTCACTTAATTACATACTGGAATATTGTTTGTTTTATTGATTTAATTAAACTAGGGGGATATGAAAGAGCTGTTACAAAGTACACCTCAGACAGTGTACAGGATGTATCTGGCTAGTCTGGCTGACAGGGGGGCGGACCTTCTCCTTCTTGAGATCCCTTGCGAGTCCGCATCACCCACTTGACGAGAGTTTCTCTCTAGAATGTACCTCCCCAGAAGCGTCGTCACCTCCTTTTCTAGCCTATCCTCCTCCTCCTCCTCATCGCCCTCCTCATCTTCCTCCCAATCTCCCTCATGTTCACTTCTTCCCTGAAGTTGCCCCTCACCGTCAGGGCCCAGTTCTTCTGTTGCTGCTTCCGTCGTAGCTTGACCTTGACCTTCGGTTAGACCTAGTTCCTGTGTTGCTTCTGTTTCTTGTCCTGGGAAACGCAACATCAGTTCTGTGAATTGCGTAATTGCCTCCCAAAAACATCGAGGATAGTGATTGCAACCATACATCATTATTCTTCTGATTATAGAAGCAGTGACGTGATTTAAAGAATACAATCGTCAAAATTAGCGTTTCGGGTGACAAAGAGCTTAAATATGCTTCCGTGTCAAATATATTTACCAAACAGTGGTCTTGCTTCAATTTAGCTTACTCATAATGGTAACAGCTGTCTGGAGGCCCCTCCCAAAGTCATGGAGGTCGATCAGTTTTGACAGAACATCCTTGATGCCCTTTAGCAGAGAAGAAGTTGGCAGATCATCTGGAACATGATCGTGTGGTGAGGCTGCATGATCCGACAATGCAGTTTATAACGTCACGGATACATGTTCATTGGTCATTGAGGCTATCATTTGGAGCTTCCGCTGCTTCAGATTATTTCTCACGCCCCGCCAAATGTTTGATACAAGAATGATTACATAATGTCCTTTCAAAGTGCCGGTGTAAGTTCAAGACTACGTTTTTGGTATTTACTAAAACAAACCTCTTGATTGCACCCCTGAAACGAGTAAAATAATCGAGAAGACAGAATTGTCTAAAACTGGATGCTAACGCCTGTCTGACAAATATAAACGCCTGCCTCAGACATCTTCCCGAGGCAAGGGCGTTAACTGACCTTAAAAGTCCAGTTCCCACTCTTGCCGAACTAGGCTGGAATTCCTCGGCTCGATCGTAGCGCCACCAGCGGTTATTACGAGTTATGTCCCTTCTAAGCCTCTCCTATGGACCAATCAGATTCCACCTCTTGTAACACTTCCATTTGTTTCAAACAAAATGGCGGCGCCCAGATCTGATCGATAATCAAGATCTATATTGTGATAAAACGGTTCTTTCATCGCGAGGTGCGTCAAATCACATGAGCACCTTGATCAAAAACATGAAAAGACTTTTCGATTTCGTTGCGCGATTTTGATTAGACTATGCATAGACTCGTAAGTCCAGCCAAAATGTAACTCCATAATTCCAGCATAGTTCGGCAAGGGTGGAAACTGAACTTTCATCATCAGTTAACTCCCTTGCCTCGGGAAGATGTCCTCAGATAAATCACCCGCCCCCTCCCATCACCAACGTCAAACCCATGGGGTATGTAACTACACATAAACCGCGTTCCCCATTCAGATGGCAAATGTACATCAATGGAGTACGTCCGATTTTGAAGTTTTGAAGACCTACCTTCCTCACTGTGATCCTCGAATTCTCTGAATATGTCCTTCACCTTCGAAGCAAAGCACTGAAGGTCATTGGACAAGAAAGTCGACGCAAGATCGTAATCGATGACCCCGTGACCTTAAAAGGAATTAAGCTTAATACATTGTACATGTTTATGTATATGAATGATTTAAGGTTTAATTGTGTTTCGCTCTTGTGGACCAAGTGCCCGGAGAGCGGAATGTCGATGGTTCGATCCCCTTGCCGTGTCATACGAAAAGATGTTAATCGAAGATACCTCTTGTTACCCTGCCTGGCGTTCGACATTAAGGGGATAAAACAAAGGCTTCAGCTGATCGGCTCGGACATGTATACGGGGTTTAAACTGCAGCATGGTATCTCCGTGGGCAAGCACAACAAAACCGACATGCGTTCAAAATTGTACAAACATTCACACACATACGCATACAGTGACACAATTTTAATCGCGACTTTTTACCCCATTTATCACCCAAAAATGGCTTCTACAGGAGACATCGCTGAGACCAGGTTAAGCCTGAAAGTGCTACACAGTACTTTGCAGACCATTGTGACAACATCAGTTATCGTGACATTAAATCTCTCTGCACCGAAGCTGGTTAACTGTATTTACACTGGTTACCATGATACACAAACTGAAAAACATGGCAGAAAAGATACGTTGAAGGTTTAACCTCGGAGTTGTGAACGCTTATCGACTCGTGCTGAAATATACTTGCGGAATTAAGTAACTATGCTTCACATAAAGTTAAAAAAGAAAAAAATGTATTCTGAAATTGAATAATGCATCTTTTAATACATATTTATGAAAACACAACCTCGCCTTTAAGACTGTGATGCACAATTTGCCCGTGCACGTTCATGCATGGCGCAAAATTTAGATGTTTGCGTGTGTCATACGTGTGGTTTTTTATGTGAACAGCACCCAATGATTGTTTAGCTATCAGGTGATCATAAAACACGTATGTTAAATAACGCTCACGCAATTGCAATGTCACGGCTTGGTGAGAATCAACGTCTACGCGCTGTGGGTATGCTGCAAACAGGAATGGCGCAAAACGAAGTTGACAGACATTATAATGCTCATCGAAACACAATACTATCTCATTGGAGACGTTATCTGCATCTGGGTAACACCTGTGCCTTTCCACGGGCCGGTGGTCCACGTGTGACGTCATGATCAACATGACAACCATGTTCGGTTGGTGCATCTACGGAATCGATGCCAAACTGCCACATTAACAGCTCGGACAATCCCTGGGTTGAGACCAATAAGAGGCAGACCGTATGCAACCGATTGAGAGAGCACAACATCCGGCCGATTGAGAGAGCACAACATCCGGCCGATTGAGGGAGCACAATATCCGGCTCCGACGTCCACCGATACGTCCAATTTTGCTTCCACGCCACCGTTAGGAACGCCTCGTTTGGTGTAGACAGCATCTGTTCAGGAGACAAGACTAGGACCATATACTGTTCACAGATGAGGCCAGGTTTCATGCGGACAGCACTAATAGTCGTGCAAGGGTCAACAGGCGTACAGGCAACGTTGCGTTACCCAACGTCATCAGTTTCGAGGTGAAAGTGTAATGGTACAATATACAATGGAGCCTCGAAGTCCTAAAATATGGACCTCGACACAACCAAGCTTGGACCGTACAACCAATAAATAATCAACAGGGAACATAAGGTTAAGTTGACACAACCAAACTTGGACCATACAGCCGATAAGCATTCTGCATTATTACATGGTCTTAAACGATGTTTCGAGTTAACCGTGTTTTACCCCTTTGTATGACTGTAACCTACTATCTAAAGGAACCGCAATAACATGTCTGAGGCCAAACACTAGCGCTTGACATGTCTTATTGTTGGCACAACATACCAGGACGTTAACCGGTGTATCAGTATACTAGTAATACTTTACCGTCTTTCCCAGACAACACGTACTCCACTGACACTCCGCAGAACGGCGGCTCTGGACCATCTCGGTGGGCTGAAAGGAGTATTGTTGTTTCTTGTAAAACTCTGTCGTCATCATATTTGCAATAGCCATGCTAGTGGCCTTTATAAACTGGCGGGGACACCATTGCGCGAAACTACGTTTCTAGTGTTTTGATAACCCAGGGCATGTGGTTTCAAGTCAAAGGCAGTGTGTGATGAAGGCTCTGTTTGGGGGTCTGCGTAATGTAAAGAGCGACAGAATGTTTTGGGAAGTGTTTCATATGAATGACTGACTGGAGGGGCAAGGCTAAACTATGTCAAAGAGGCTGGGCCAGATGTTTTCAGGAAGCTTTATTTTTAACTATTTAAGCATGAACTCGTCTTGACCCAATTTTACTTTCTTACGATATGTAGATAAAGACAGTACGAACATAGGGTAAAACTTAACTTTGGGTCACGGACTTCCTCAAAGTTAGTTGTTTCTTGGAGGTAGAAAAGTCTTCCTTTTTAAATCTTACTAATGGGTCCATCGTATGATATACTGGATAATGTGGGATGTAGTGGCATAGTGGCAGATTCAATACATAATGGAATAGTGAGGTCCCACAGTTTGGCCTTTAATAGTCGTACTCACAGGTCCACAGTTGTACGAACGCCCTCTCCAGATACAGAAAGGCGTCCTCGACCACGTTGTTAGCGTCCTCCGTCACACCATACACCGTCCCCAGAGCGCTATCCCAATCTGGTAAATAACAACTAGTTGTACCACTGCAGTCTCCCCCCCCCGCACCTACCTCACCTCCCTCCCTTCCATACACACACACACACACACACAGAGACAGACAGACAGACAGACAGACAGACACACACACACACACACACACACACACACACACACACACACACACACAGACAGACATACAGACACACACACACACACACACAGACAGACACACAGACACACAGACACAATGTTTGAAGCCCACTTCGGGTGTTCCCGGCCGTGATATTGCTGGAATATTGCTGAAAAGGGACGTAAAATCATCCTCTTTCACAGCGGTGTTTATAAAATTACTATATGCAAGTACATATACTTGCACAAGACAGGAGACACAATACAAGTTGATCATAATTCAAATGTCAAAAGGAATATTTACGGACAATAGTATTCGTGCATTCATACTGTGACACAATATACTACCTAAAACAAGTTAAAGAACACCTACAATTATACCAGCAAGCGTCCTCCGTCACACCATGCACCGTCCCCAGAACGCTATCCCTCAGAGAGAGAGAGAGAGAGAGAGGGTGTGAGAGAGAGAGAGAGAGAGAGAGAGAGAGAGAGAGAGATACACACAAGAACATTCACCAATATAATTCGCATAACTTATGAAGTACCTTCTATCCTGCTGACTAATGCACTCACTCACTCACACTCACGCCTAAACTGTGACCCACCCTGTCCTGTCTGCAGCTCCCTGGCTCTGTCCTCCAGTTCATCAACGAGTCCCTCCACCCCCAGCTGTTTATCCGCTATAACGTTCAGAAACTGATGTTTGTCGAACGCTGCAACACACAGTATGAATGTGAATTATCAACATCCAATGTCTATCAGTAAAAGTTTCAGTCCATTAAGCAAAATAAATTTGTGTAAATCATCAACAAGTTACATTTTCGAAACTAATGTAAATACTATATCGCTACCGGCAAAACTCCCGGTGAACAAATAATGCAGGCGAGGTTTCAAGACGAACAGAGTTGCATTATCAACAATTGCTACTCACAGTCATTGTTTGGTGTGGGCTGGTCTGAAATCTGCTGGCTCGGGCCCTGTAAATACAGGTGACAAGAAGTATTATTTGTTTGTTTGTTGTTTAACGCCGCACACCGCAATATCCCAGCTATATACATAATCGACAACCCAGTGAATGATATCATGAACATCGATCCATACAATTGGGGTACGGTGACATGCAAGTGACGTATCTCCATCAATCATAAAACTATGTTACCTTTAACACTTGACCGGAATTTTTAAATCTTGCGTGAATTTCGGGATGAATACGGTATTGCGAGGCATTATTAGGTGGTGAATGCGGTTGGCCCCAGCTGAAGTAACTTTCAGAGTGAGTGAGTTAGTATGGTTTTAAGTCGCTTTTAGCAATATTCCAGCAATATCACGGCGGGGGACACATTGTACCAACTTGTATCACTAGGCTACCCCATCGCCCTAATAACTATAGAGGTTATGGCGACTGACGTCACTCATATCTATCATGTGCACGTGTAACAAACTTTACTCCTGACCAGAACAATCCTGTCATTCCATGATGCAGCCACCCACGTCCTGCTGATATGTACATGTCCTTATAGTCCCTTATTAGTATGTAATACACCGTATCCTTATCATACGCTGAGTAGCATATATACCACACAACAATGACCTTACCTGATTTCGTAAGCCTGCATTCACTGTCTCAAGAGTCAGAAGAAGGACTACGATGGCGCAGACAGACATGCTGATTGACTGTGGTGACACTACCCGGGACACCCGACTATATATATACCCCTGCTTGGAAGTAGGGTAGATCACCCAAAGGAGTAGGAGCGGAAATATATTAGATGTTTCACGAGATCAACACGAAAACCGCAAATACCCCAACTATCAAGATGGTACACACAGCCACTCTCCTCCGACTGATGTACGTGCGTTATGCCATTAGGGAGTATCATTATTCATACATAACTCCGCCCACTGAGCCCAAAACGAGGCGACCCGGAAGAACTCTTTGAAAAACAACGCGATCACCGACTAACCTCCACTGGTGTGTGCCGCAATGCACAAGCGATTCAAGATATGAAGGGAACGTTATTTTCCATGCCTTGCCCAAAACAGACGCTATGGGGAGGAAATGGATAGTACCTATCTGCAGAGATGAAAACCCATTATTCAAGTATGACATTGACCTACTTAGCCGGAAAAAGGTCACATGTTGATGTAAGCTCTAACATACATTCTCTTTTGCTTTTGAGACACCTTAACATAGCATAGACGCAATAATTGATCATTTTAGCAATTGTAAATCACATATGTGGGATTGCGAGTATATTAAACTGCCTATCTTTACATCTACCCGGTGCACAAATGTTCTGAACCGAGGGACAGTATAAAGTAATCTGATGATAGGTCTATGTACCCTGTCAATCCAGATCTGATCGAATCCTTATGCAGTGTTCTTGTTGGCATTTAGTACATTTATGGTGTTATCAACACTCTCGATTTATTATAATTTTGTTGTTGAAAACACATCAACATTGTTATGGCCAAAATGCAAAACACACAAAAAACATTGTTGTAAGAATATATATGGTCTTGCACATTATTTTAGAGGACAGCCCCTCAATTCATATTTTTTCAGAGATATCCAAAAGCACTGTGTCGGAAGGAGAGTGTTAACAGGCAGGTGAACTGAGAATAAAGGAAGGAGAGTGTTAACAGGCATGTGAACTGAGAATAAAGGAAGAAGAGTGTTAACAGGTATGTGAACTGAGAATAAAGGAAGGAGAGTGTTAACAAGCATGTGAACTGAGAATAAAGGAAGGAGAGTGTAAACAGGCTGAGAATAAAGGAAGAAGAGTGTTAACAGGCATGTGAACTGAGAATAAAGGAAGAAGAGTGTTAACAGACAGGTGAACTGAGAATAAAGGAAGGAGAGCGTTAACAGGCTGAGAATAAAGGAAGAAGAGTGTTATCAGGCAGATGAACTGAGAAGAAAGGAAGAAGAGTGTTAACAGGCTGAGAATAAAGGAAGGAGAGTGTTAACAGGCAGGTGAACTGAGAATAAAGGAAGAAGAGTGTTAACAGACAGGTGAACTGAGAATAAAGGAAGGAGAGTGTTAACAGGCTGAGAATAAAGGAAGGAGAGTGTTAACAGGCATGTGAACTGAGAATAAAGGAAGGAGAGGGTTAACAGGTATGTGAACTGAGAATAAAGGAAGGAGAGTGTTAACAAGTATGTGAACTGAGAATAAAGGAAGGAGAGTGTAAACAGGCTGAGAATAAAGGAAGAAGAGTGTCAACAGGCATGTGAACTGAGAATAAAGGAAGGAGAGGGTTAACAGGCAGGTGAACTGAGAATAAAGGAAGGAGAGTGTAAACAGGCTGGGAATAAAGGAAGAAGAGTGTTAACAGGCATGTGAACTGAGAATAAAGGAAGAAGAGTGTTAACAGGCATGTGAACTGAGAATAAAGGAAGAAGAGTGTTAACAGACAGGTTAACTGAGAATAAAGGAAGGAGAGTGTTAACAGGCTGAGAATAAAGGAAGGAGAGTGTTAACAGGCATATGAACTGAGAATAAAGGAAGGAGAGGGTTAACAGGTATGTGAACTGAGAATAAAGGAAGGAGAGTGTTAACAAGTATGTGAACTGAGAATAAAGGAAGGAGAGTGTAAACAGGCTGAGAATAAAGGAAGAAGAGTGTTAACAGGCATGTGAACTGAGAATAAAGGAAGAAGAGTGTTAACAGGCAGGTGAACTGAGAATAAAGGAAGAAGAGTGTTAACAGGCATGTGAACTGAGAATAAAGGAAGGAGAGGGTTAACAGGCATGTGAACTGAGAATAAAGGAAGAAGAGTGTTAACAGGCATGTGAACTGAGAATAAAGGAAGAATAGTGTTAACAGGCATGTGAACTGAGAATACAGGAAGAAGAGTGTTAACAGGCAGATGAACTGAGAATAAAGGAAGAAGAGTGTTAACAGGCTGAGAATAAAGGAAGGAGAGTGTTAACAGGCATGTGAACTGAGAATAAAGGAAGAAGAGTGTTAACAGACAGGTGAACTGAGAATAAAGGAAGGAGAGTGTTAACAGGCTGAGAATAAAGGAAGAAGAGTGTTATCAGGCAGATGAACTGAGAATATAGGAAGAAGAGTGTTAATAGGCGGATGAACTGAGAATAAAGGAAGAAGAGTGTTAACAGGTGGGTGAACTGAGAATAAAGGAAGAACAGTGTTAACAGGCATATAAAATGAGAATAAAGGTAGAAGAGTGTAAACAGGCAGATGAACTGAGAATAAAGGAAGGAGAGTGTTAACAGGCATGTGAACTGAGAATAAAGGTAGAAGAGTGTAAACAGGCATATGAACTGAGAATAAAGGAAGGAGAGTGTTAACAGGCATGTGAACTGAGAATAAAGGAAGGAGAGGGTTAACAGGCAGGTGAACTGAGAATAAAGGAAGGAGAGTGTAAACAGGCTGGGAATAAAGGAAGAAGAGTGTTAACAGGCAGATGAACTGAGAATAAAGGAAGGAAAGTGTTAACAGGCATGTGAACTGAGAATAAAGGAAGAAGAGTGTTATCAGGCGGCTGAACTGAGAATAAAGGAAGAAGAGTGTTATCAGGCGGCTGAACTGAGAATCTAGGACGAAGAATGTCAACAGGCATGTGAACTGAGAATATTGGAAGAAGAGTGTTAACAGGCAGGTGAACTGAGAATAAAGGAAGAAGAGTGTTAACAGGCATGTGAACAGAGAATAAAGGAAGAAGAGTGTTAACAGGCAGGTGAACTGAGAATAAAGGAAGAAGAGTGTCAACAGGCATGTGAACTGAGAATAAAGGAAGGAGAGGGTTAACAGGCAGGTGAACTGAGAATAAAGGAAGGAGAGTGTAAACAGGCTGGGAATAAAGGAAGAAGAGTGTTAATAGGCAGATGAACTGAGAATAAAGGAAGAAGAGTGTTAACAGGCATGTGAACTGAGAATAAAGGAAGAAGAGTGTTAACAGGCATGTGAACTGAGAATAAAGGAAGAAGAGTGTTAACAGGCAGGTGAACTGAGAATAAAGGAAGGAGAGTGTAAACAGGCTGGGAATAAAGGAAGAAGAGTGTTAATAGGCGGATGAACTGAGAATAAAGGAAGAAGAGTGTTAACAGGCATGTGAACTGAGAATAAAGGAAGAAGAGTGTTAACAGGCAGGTGAACTGAGAATAAAGGAAGAAGAGTGTTAACAGGCATGTGAACTGAGAATAAAGGAAGAAGAGTGTTAACAGGCAGGTGAACTGAGAATAAAGGAAGAAGAGTGTTAACAGGCAGGTGAACTGAGAATAAAGGAAGGAGAGTGTAAACAGGCTGAGAATAAAGGAAGAAGAGTGTTAACAGGCATGTGAACTGAGAATAAAGGAAGAAGAGTGTTAACAGGCAGGTGAACTGAGAATAAAGGAAGAAGAGTGTTAACAGGCATGTGAACTGAGAATAAAGGAAGAAGAGTGTTAACAGGCAGGTGAACTGAGAATAAAGGAAGGAGAGTGTTAACAGGCATGTGAACTGAGAATAAAGGAAGAAGAGTGTTAACAGGCATGTGAACTGAGAATAAAGGAAGAAGAGTGTTAACAAGCAGGTGAACTGAGAATAAAGGAAGAAGAGTGTTAACAGGCATGTGAACTGAGAATAAAGGAAGGAGAGTGTTAACAGGCAGGTGAACTGAGAATAAAGGAAGGAGAGTGTAAAGAGGCTGGGAATAAAGGAAGAAGAGTGTTAACAGGCAGATGAACTGAGAATAAAGGAAGGAAAGTGTTAACAGGCATGTGAACTGAGAATAAAGGAAGAAGAGTGTTATCAGGCGGCTGAACTGAGAATAAAGGAAGAAGAGTGTTATCAGGCGGCTGAACTGGGAATCTAGGACGAAGAATGTCAACAGGCATGTGAACTGAGAATATTGGAAGAAGAGTGTTAACAGGCAGGTGAACTGAGAATAAAGGAAGAAGAGTGTTAACAGGCATGTGAACAGAGAATAAAGGAAGAAGAGTGTTAACAGGCAGGTGAACTGAGAATAAAGGAAGAAGAGTGTCAACAGGCATGTGAACTGAGAATAAAGGAAGGAGAGGGTTAACAGGCATATGAACTGAGAATAAAGGAAGGAGAGTGTAAACAGGCTGGGAATAAAGGAAGAAGAGTGTTAATAGGCAGATGAACTGAGAATAAAGGAAGGAAAGTGTTAACAGGCATGTGAACTGAGAATAAAGGAAGAAGAGTGTTATCAGGCGGCTGAACTGAGAATAAAGGAAGAAGAGTGTTATCAGGCGGCTGAACTGAGAATCTAGGACGAAGAATGTCAACAGGCATGTGAACTGAGAATATTGGAAGAAGAGTGTTAACAGGCAGGTGAACTGAGAATATAGGAAGAAGAGTGTTAACAGGCAGATGAACTGAGAATAAAGGAAGAAGAGGGTTAACAGGCATGTGAACTGAGAATAAAGGAAGAAGAGTGTTAACAGGCATGTGAACTGAGAATAAAGGAAGAAGAGTGTCAACAGGCTGAGAGTAAAGGAAGAAGAGTGCAAATTATTAACCAAAAAATATATAATTCAAACGGAAACATTTGGTATCAATCATTTTACTGATAACGATTATTTGATAAGGTATGGTGCAGGTTTTAGGGGATGTGCCTTGTCTTGTGCCCCGTGATTCCAGCATGACAAGTGCATGCTATTAACCAAGGATTCGGTTGTTTATGTTTCTGTGTAGACGGAGAGTTGGCCTTCATGAGCTAGTTTCATCTGAAAAATAAATTACAAAAATAGTAACTTTTTGTATAGTATTCTATGTAGTATATCTCCGTGGCTTTCTCTTCATTTGGTTGACAAATACGTGCCAACAAGCTTCACAGTAACCCTCCCGTCAACAAGGTTAACCGTTGATCGTGTAGAAATAAGATAGCCGTTGTTCAAGTGGATCTCGCTCAACTACTGAGCACATCGGGACTTGGAATGGTGAACTGGCTTACCTCTTCATGCAGTGTTACTGTGTAGTGTTATGTCCGGCATAAAACACAACCTCCCTCACTAACTCATATGGCGTTAAATTTAATAAACACACATGCGTAACATCGAGCGATTCCCTCCCAAAGTAGGTTGGTTGGTTTGTTTTTTATCGCCGCTCTCAGCAATATTCCAGCTATATGAAGGCGGGCTGTAAATAATCGAGTCTGGAGCAGACAATCAAGTGATTTCCCTTCCAAACATGAATGTTTTGTATAGTATCTACGGTATTACCAGCACATCTTCGCATGCGATTTGATACACTTTTAGATAAAACATACTGTTTTAAGTGTCTGGGAAGGGTTTTTATCGCCAGTCATCAAGGGATGAGCGTGAGTGTCCCCTCGGGACGTTGGCTCCTAATGGTATGAGTCGCCAACAACTTCAAGACACTCTCCTCTAACCCTACTGCCACTGTTGCCTATTGTATTGTAGGTATCTTCCTATCTCATAGTAACCTTGTGAGAGGTACTACTTTCAAGCGAGACCTGCTCAAAGGTTTTGCATTTGAATTGTAAGACCAAGGTTTTACAATTTTTTATTTTTTTAAAATGGCCTTTTGATATGAATCTTATGTTCATTTTTGATTGGTTAAAAGTAAGAATTTTTTTTTCACATGAAATCGAATCTGCACGCTCAAATATCGTTTTACGTTTTGTGGGCCATTGTTTTCCCACTGTGCCACCGAGACCGTGGATGAAAGGTTGATCACTCTTATACGTCACACCAGTGGGGGTAGATAAGAATGTGTCCTCGGCACCCCATTGCTGGTCGTAAAAGGCGACAGAATTGGCTAACCCGTGGGTTGTGCCCCTGTGTCGGTGGAGGACGGGATTCTGGTGGTTGAGGGCACTGGAGCCAGGTTCCTTTAGCCCAACACACCACTTTGACCCTTACTTCACCTAGGTGGTAGAATTGGCCCGATTCTATTAATCGGGTGGTCACGCCATGCCCTGTGCATGGAAAACTTAAAACTTATTGATCGTGAAATATGATATCGTTATTGATGCTAATATATATTTTTGCCTAGGTTCCTATGCAAGAAGGCGGGGTCTCAGGGGCCAATCTGATGAGTTTTTACTCTAGGGTTTCTATTTTAATTGGGTTATTACATTTTTCATTGGGTAACCAATATTGTTTCATCTATTCCTCACTCTATTGGGTTTTTCCCAAAATTAGTAAACATTTTAAGATTTAAAAAAATGAAATAATGTTTTAAATGTATATAACTGTTCAAAATATATAGGCATGACTCGGAAGGTAAATTAGCTTGTAATTTGTATCAGAAATTAGCTCCTTTGTAGGCATGCTGAAAAAGCTTCAGTGGGTATTTATGCGTGCTGATTTTAAACGTTTGAGTTTTTCATTTGATGCAAGCAATTCTGTACGCAAGTTAATTGAAAGTAATTGGGTTTTGAATATTTTTGGCGTGTATATTACGTAAATACGCTGCTTATCTGTAGCTCTGAAGCTAACTAGGCTTTATATGAAGCTTTTTGCACGCAAACTCTTAGGCCTGATCTCGTTATAGGCGTTCCGTACCCAACACAATGTTTCCTGGTGATCTGACAGATGTATTCCTAAATCCTCTGCAATTTCTCACATACGTAAACCATGGTTTAATGATAACTGCAAACAAGCTAGGAAGGCTAGAAAAAGGCCGAACATTATTTCCGTCGCCATCCCCTTGTCCATAATTTTAATATATTCAAGATTTTAAATGCTAAAGCAAGACCTACATTTAAACAAAGTATACGCCAATCTGGCGAAATTATGTCTCAAAAATTAATTCACGCACACCAGTATCTAAGGTATGAACTCCATACTGCTCTTGGTCAAGCTCATGACACTGCTTCAGGATCTGATAACATCCACTATCAGCTTCTGAAACACCTACCAGAACCATGTTTAGAAACCCTTGTGATTTCTTTTATGAAATATGGACATCTGATAAATTTCCTTCTTCGTGGCGTGATGCCATAGTTGTTCCTATCCCAAAACCTGGCTGTGATCATACTGATCCATTAAATTATCGACCTATTTCCTTAACCAGTTGCGTTTGCAAAACCATGCAACGCATGATCAAAAATCGATTAATATGGTACTTAGAAACCAATAAATTAATCACAAATATTTGGAATCATTTGTCAAAAATGTCATAATAAATAAACAAAATTTCGTGTCTAATTTTTTCGATCTCCAAAAAGCATATGACGCAACCTGAGAAATACGGTATTTTAAAAGATTTACATGACTTTGGATTGAGATGACGTTTGCCTCAAATCATATCCAAGTTATTATCAGAGAGACAATTTCAATGCCACACAACACGACCCTCTACATGCCATACAACACGACCTACTACATGCCATACAACACGACCTACTACATGCAATACAACACGACCTACTAAATGCCATACAACACGACCTATTACATGCCATAAAACACGACCTATTACATGCCATACAACACGACCCTCTACATGCCATACAACACGACCTACTACATGCCATACAACACGACCTTCAACATGCCATACAAAACGACCTTCTGCATGCCATACAACACCACCTACTACATGCCATACAACACGTCCTCTACATGCCACACAACACGACCCTCTACATGCCATACACCACGACCTACTACATGCCATACAACACGACCTACTACATGCCATACAACACGACCTACTACATGCCATACAACACGACCCTCTAAATGTCATACAACACGACCTTCTACATGCCACCCAACACCATCTACTACATGCAATACAACACGACCCTGTACATGCCATACAACACGACCTACTACATGCCATACAACACGACCTTCTACATGCCATACAACACAACCTCCTACATGCCATATATGCCATACAACACGACCTACTACATGCCATACAACACGACCTACTACATGCCATACAACACGACCCTCTACATGCCATACAACACGACCTTCTACATGCCATACAGCACGACCTACTACATGACATACAACACCACCTACTACATGCCATACAACACGACCTTCTACATGCCATACAACACGACCTTCTACATGCCATACAACACGACCTTATACATGCCAAACAACACCACCTACTACATGCCATACAACACGTCCTTCTACATACCATACAACACGATCCTCTACAAGCCATACAACACGACCTAATACATGCCATACAACACGACCTTCTACATGCCATACATGCCATACAACACGACCTACTACATGCCATACAACACGTCCTCTACATGCCACACAACACGACCCTCTACATGCCATACAACACGACCTACTACATGCCATACAACACGACCTACTACATGCCATACAACACGACCCTCTAAATGCCATACAACACGACCTTCTACATGCCACCCAACACCATCTACTACATGCAATACAACACGACCCTTTACATGCCATACAACACGACCTACTACATGCCATACAACACGACCTTCTACATGCCATACAACACGACCCTCTACATGCCATACAACACGACCTTCTACATGCCATACAGCACGACCTACTACATGCCATACAACACCACCTACTACATGCCATACAACACGACCTTCTACATGCCATACAACACGACCTACTACATGCCATACAACACGACCTTCTACATGCCATACAACACGACCTTCTACATGCCATACAACACCACCTACTACATGCCATACAACACGTCCTTCTACATACCATACAACACGATCCTCTACAAGCCATACAACACGACCTTATACATGCCATACAACACGACCTTCTACATGCCATACATGGCATACAACACGACCTTCTACATGCCATATAACACGACCTTCTACATGCCATACATGGCATACAACACGACCCTCTACATGCCATATAACACGACCTTCTACATGCCATACAACACAACCTCCTACATGCCATATATGCCATACAACACGACCTACTACATGCCATACATGGCATACAACACGACCTTCTACATTCCATATAGCACGACCTTCTACATGCCATACAACACCACCTACTACATGCCATATATACCATACAACACGACCTTCTACATGTCATACAACAGTCAGTGAGTCAGTGAGTATGGTTTTACGCCGCTTTTAGCAATATTCCAGCAATATCACGGCGGGGGACACCAGAAATGGGCTTCACACACTTTACCCATGTCGGGAATCGAACCCGGGTCTTCGGCGTGACGAGCGAACGCTTTAACCACAAGGCTACCCGACCGCCCCTCATACAACACGACCTACTACCTGCCACACAACACGACCTTCTACATGCCACACAACACGACCTTCTACATGCCACACAACATGTCCTACTACACGCCACACAACACCATCTACTACATGCCATAGAACATGACTTTCTACATGCCACACAACATGACCTTCTACATGCCACACAACACGACCTTCTACATGCCACACAACACCATCTACTACATGCCATACAACAAGACCTACAACACGACCTACTACATGCCATGCAACACGACCTACTACATGCCATGCAACACGACCTACTACATACTACTTAGGCAACAAAGCTTGACGTATGAGGCGACTAACGGAATCGGGTGGACAGGCTCGCAGTCTTGGTTGATGCATGTCATCGTATGCCAATAGCATGGATCGATGATCATGATATCAGTCACTTGATAGTCTGGTCCAGACTCGATTATTTACAGACCGCCGCCATATAGCTGGAATATTGCTGAGTGCGGCGTTAAACAACAAACAAACACACACTTCACACCCTGACTTCACACCCTGACTTCACACCCTGCTTCATTTATCATCGACATACAATACACAAACAGCTGTCACGGGGATAACAATGTGAACATTTCTTTATTGTAACAATAATATCAAAGGTACATAGCACATCTGTTGAACAGGGTATATTACATAATAATGACAGTAAAACTATTGGAAAATACATAGAGGCGACGCCATGTTTGTTTATAAGCAGTGAAAGTAGTCCCTACTTGACCGTTCATATTTGCATATCTATCCGCATATGAGCCAAACGGATATCGTTACCGTTGGATTTATCATGCCGAGAGTAGGAAACTGGAGTACATTACAGACAGTTGTCAGACACATTTACTGTAACAGGTTCCTTAGAAGATTGCGAAAATGTAAACTAAGACCGCGTCTGTTCTTATTGTTTGTTGGTGGTGGGGGATTCGGAGGGCCGTCTCCATTTGGGGGTGGAGGTGAAGGCCCGTCACCAGTTGTGGGAGGTGGTGGTGGGTTTTCTCTCTTCAGCAGATCATTTAGTAAATCACTCAACCGCCGTCTGTTCCCGCCATTCCCCGAGGGTGGTGGGGGATTCGGAGGGCCGTCTCCATTTGGGGGTGGAGATGGAGGCCCGTCACCAGTTGGGGGAGGTGGTGGTGGGTTTTCTCTCTTCAGCAGATCATTTAGTAAATCACTCAACCGCCGTCTGTTCCCGCCATTCCCCGAGGGTGGTGGGGGATTCGGAGGGCCGTCTCCATTTGGGGGTGGAGATGGAGGCCCGTCTCCATTTGGGGGTGGAGGTGGAGGCCCGTCACCAGTTGTGGGAGGTGGTGGTTGGTTTTCTCTCTTCAGCAGATCATTTAGTAAATCACTCAACCGCCGTCTGTTCCCGCCATTCCCCGAGGGTGGTGGGGGATTCGGAGGGCCGTCTCCATTTGGGGGTGGAGATGGAGGCCCGTCACCAGTTGGGGGAGGTGGTGGTGGGTTTTCTCTCTTCAGCAGATCATTTAGTAAATCACTCAACCGCCGTCTGTTCCCGCCATTCCCCGAGGGTGGTGGGGGATTCGGAGGGCCGTCTCCATTTGGGGGTGGAGATGGAGGCCCGTCACCAGTTGGGGGAGGTGGTGGTGGACTTTCTCTTCTCAGTAAAAGATTTACAAGTTGTTCCGCGAGATAGCCACGCTTGCTCGGAACATTGTTCTCACTGACTTCGTGTAAAGGAAGATATTCGGGAACTGAAAACAAATTGATGAAAGATAGTTCCCTTGTGGTCAGGTAGCTAGACTAACTATAGGGTGTTCCGATCTCAGCATCACTTACGTCTGTCCACGACTCAGACTTTGCTGACCAGGGGTCGCTTAAGAGAAAGGCATTCTGAGGACCAGGAAAGTTGAGACCGCCGCGTCAAGGGATATCATTGGCGCCACGTGTAAGACATTAGGATAATCAATAACTATTGATATACATCATATATTAAAACAAATTGACAAAATGAGATACTTGAATTGTCAATTCCTTTGAGCCAAGTCTCCGTTCTCCGTGGTAGTGAACGTGTTTTAATTCGATGTATGCAATATGTTTAATAAAAAAACAGGACCACAAATAACCCTTCTACCGTTTCATCGTTTTTTATTTAATAATAATTAGGACGTAAGAAAGTTTGATTCTGAAGTGAATACTTACAAACATGATACACGGAGAGATAAAATCGGAGTCCGGAATCCCTGAGCTTGAAGAGGCCGAAGATGAGGTCCTTTACATACTGGACGGCATCCTCGATGGACATCTCCCCCTCTGCGGAGAAAGGAAGGGAACTGTGTAAACATGCATTAGCAACGGTATTGTACCTCGGTATTGTATTGGCAGCGTGTCATATCACTGAATTCGCATTACGGGTGTGACGACTTTGGATGAATTACATACTCACCTCGATCGAGGTTTTTGGCGCACTGGAAGATCTCCCGCAACACCCCTGTCATACAGTCCATGTCATCCACCAGCAGGTCAAATGCCACCATTTTGTCCAAAGGCTGCCCGGGGTGCTCTGTAACAATATAATCGTCCTTCAGACACCATTGATGATGCTGTACAGATACATAGTTGATGTCGTAAAGACACAATGGATCACGTAGTGCAGACACCACTGATGATATCTCAGCACATACAAGTGTGACATAGTTACACGTGACCTATAGCTGGTCACACATGGAAGTGTGACATAGTTACACGTGACCTACAGCTGGTCACGCATGGAAGTGTGACATAGTTACACGTGACCAACAGCTGGTCACACGTGGAAGTGTGACATAGTTACACGTGACCTACAGCTGGTCACACATGGAAGTTTGACACATTTACACGTGACATACAGCTGGTCACACGTGGAGGTGTGACATAGTTGCACGTGACCTACAGCTGGTCACACGTGGAAGTGTGACATAGTTACACGTGACCTACAGCTGGTCACACATGGAAGTGTGACACATTTACACGTGACATACAGCTGGTCACACATCGAAATGTGACATAGTGACTAAACATGCGACAATCACAGAAGACACTTACCTTTTGCGCTCTCACTGATGTACTGTTCTAGTGCCGAGCAAGCAAGTGGCGCCTCGTCGAAGCCGTCATGAGCTGCAAAAGAAAAAAAGTGATCGATTTGATAATAGTTGCTATTAGTGAGCATAGCCCAGGTGCTGAAAACAGTAACATAGACGTCTAAAACCACCTCCTGAATCAACCAAATAACAAGCTGAACATACACACTCTCCTGTCATTTCCATGAATCATTGACCTGTTCTCGCCCTTCTGCTTCCGCCATCATTCCAACCCATATGCTAACCATACAACCAATCTCATATTCAACTACCACCCCGCACGCACGCACACACCACCACTTCCCGTCACTCTAGCAACCCCACCACCACCATCCTGCTCAGTATACTGACCTCCTTCGATATGCTGTTTAACCTCTCCCCACAAATGTCGAATGGCGCCCTCTGAGAAGCCCATGGCGGCATTGTACAGTTCAGGCCCAGCCGCGAAAACATCGGCGATCCTTGCTTCTTCTGAAACAAATTAAAGTTGCAATTATAGGCTAGAAGTTACGCTTCAGACAAAACATATACCACTATTACCAGATACCATTAGACCACACATGACAAAGATATCTTGATCATTATACAGGTGATGTCGGAGGCACTGGGTGTACAGTCGTCGGAGAATCACAGAATCCTGTGATCACAGGCAGGAATCCACGATCCGAGGCAGTTTGTGCAACCTGCTTGTCCCCATACCCGTGCTCGCGGGTTCATCAAAGTGGTATACGTCTAGTGGAGACCTTAGGGCATTTCTTCCTCATGAGCCTGTAACGCTGTGACATGACTGAAATATTGTTCACAGCTGCAGAAAATAAAACTCACTCATTCCATAGAATCTAAGACTTTAAATAAACTGGTGGCAAGTGCGCAAGTAGGAAAGTGTAATGTAAACGTGTTGAACAAATTACCATCCTCTAAACCGACGGATCCCCTCAAGCCCTTGACGAGGTCCTTCACGTCGTGCACGTAGGTGCTGGCGCGGTCTCGCAGATGGGCCAGCTCATGGCGGAAGGTTTCCTTGTTGATGACTGGAATCAGAAATAATGAAATATATATTAGTCTATAATCACTGAAATAGTTCATGGCCTACAGAAAGTGGTTGAAAATTATTCCCGCGACTGATATAAGTGTGGTTCGGCTGATACCGAAGTCTAGAGATATCATAAGACTGATGATTGATGGCATAAATATTTTGTTGATTCAACTTATATTTAGAAAGTATCATGTATCTCCCCCAAAACTAATTAGAATTTCGCCATTTGTGACGAAACCCTTCTCTATTGCAGTGACAGGTTCTTTACGAAGACAGTGATGTTACTGACAGTATCATATCACTGCCTGTGGGCGACGAGCCAAGACGAGAGTGTGTACCTGGAGCCTGGGCGGATTGCGGACCTTGTTCACCCTCGTTCAACTGAAGAATAGGAAATTAAACACATGTAAAAATCACCTTGGAAATAGACTGGATGTTATTTACAACCATTTATTTAGAAAAAAACACGTATGCCATGGTTTTCTTATCAAAACTAAGAGTGAGTGAGTGAGTTTGGTTTTACGCCGCCATATGACGACGGGGAACACCAGAATTGTACCCATGTCGGGAATCTGTCCCGGGTCTTCGGCGTGACGAGCGAACGCTTTAACCACTAGGCTACCCGACCGCCCCATCAAAACTATGGATGACAATCGTCCCGAGATGAAGCACCGAAACCATACACAAGTGGTATTCTCAACAAACCTACTTATAACAGTCATTTATCATCCAAAACTGGCTCCCACAGGAGATATCGCTTGGGTGAGATCAAGCGATATCTATACTGTAGATATCGCTGCAATGAAATTGCATTACAATGCTTTGCAGAACATTTTGACGTCATTGGTTACCATGACGTCACAATTAAATGACATCACTAATGGCTCTGCTACTGAAGCTGTTAGCAGTACTTTTTACACTTAAGACACTGCTTATTACTCTCTACAAACTGAAAAAGTTGGGAGAGTGATGTTGGATGATAAATAAAATCTCACCCTCGTGTCTTTTGATACTGTTACATGACGTCACAATCAAGGGCCATCACTAATGGTACCAATGGAGCTGACAAGCTGTACTTTTTTCACTCAAGACACTGGTTATTAACGTTTCCAATTTGGATGATAAATAGACTCTCACCCTTATGTCTTTTGATACTAAATATAATTATCAACGTGTAATCATTCAAATACAATGTATCCCGACTTCCCTTGTATCGTTAGGAAATATTTACATATGAAGTGATCTTGTTTTGATAAATGTCTATGGTAGCACTGGTATCTGCAGGACCGTGTACATGTTTCTACAGAAGGTCCCATGATGCAAAGAAGCTCAGAAGCTCAGAACAAAACGATAATCGGTTTATGTGTATCTATATGAAACTTTTAACGTCAGAAAATAAATACATGGCGCGTATTAAGAAATTGCTCTTTTATGTGGATACATATAGTAAGTTGTGCTAAAAATATAGTTCTGGTGGACGACCTATTTGTCCATAAATCGAGCACCATAACATCACCAACGTCATAATTCATACCTAAGTCATCGTTTACAAAGTTGTCATGGTCATCAGAGTGAGTTGGGTTGAACGTCGCTTTGTTAAGAATTTCACTTACATCACTGCGTCCTCGGCATTATAACGGATAAAAAGTTGGATTCATTCAAATTTAAGCTGGAAAAAGCTTCCAATACTATTTGTTGACAGTGGGTTTTCATAAGTCCTGGCCGTTAAGTTGGATCAGAGCGTTGACTGCTGTCCTCAGTCGGTAATTTAGATTTACATTTTATATGCTAATGAACATATTTAGTTTGAGTAACACTTAATCGTTGATACCTATGATTCTGGCAAAAGGTCATTGCTTCCGAGAACATTTTCCAAGTTTCCAAGTGAAATCAAGTGTCAAAAAAGTCTTTATACCTGCAATCTCCCGCTACTGTGGATAATCCTCCAAACGTTAATTAATACGATTGTGAGTCCTTTCCGTAATAAACAGTTTTGATTATGACGCAAACATCCCATGTAAAGTAAGGTCACGCTAGTGTCTGAGAAGGAAACAATTCAAGCATAAGAGTAACCGCCTACCTCTGAGGACCCGACAACCGCGAGCAACAGCTCGGCTGCGACGAGGATTCCAAGGACTCGCATGGTGACAGTGCTATCTACCCAGGATGAACTGGCTTTTATACTCAGTAGCTGGGATCAGGAACAACGCCACCCAAGAGCGGAGAACAACCATTGGGGATGACGCAGCGGTGCCAACGATTTCAGTGTATCAATACACCATTACTCTCTGTATAAGTCAGACCTTTTATATTAAAGTACATGCATTGAAAATGATTGCTTTCATAGCTCACGTGAAGGAAAAGTGTGCATGGCTTTTGTCAAACTTCAATGAATTCAGAGCGCGGGTGACCTTTTATAGAACGGTCTTATTGGCATATTGCACGGTCAGACAGTGACAGTACCCCGCCTCAATGAATATAAGTGATATTGGTATCTCTTTGGTGCCTTATACATGTTTATGAAAGAAGGGGGCTATATTCATCGCACATGCCCATACAGCATTAACTATGATCTACCAGCAATACAGGTTCTCTTATTATCTTGCCATGGGCAATTTTACACGCCAAAATAAAACCAAAACTCAGAGAGATATATTTCAGGATAATGGCCACTGTAAAAAGTGTCGAAATTAATCAAGGCACTGCAATGCGACGAGGCGACAAGCCGACATTTTTACCATTTGCCGTATTTTCGCGCTTTGGTTAATTCCGACACTTTTTGCTTGTTTTTTTGTAAGGGCGACAACGTGACAATGTCCCTTCTAGGATTCCATAGTTTTCTATATATCTACTTTCATACATGTATCTTCACAAAACGTTTTCCAAAAAATAGTTTCATCTGTAACTGTTAACATCACCCTGCTACAGAAGATAAATCATCAGTAAACATCACCCTGCTACAGAAGATAAATCTTCAGTAAACATCACCGTGCTATAGAAGATAAATCATCAGTAAACATTACCCTGCTACAGAAGATGAATCATCAGTAAACATCACACTGCTACAGAAGATAAATCTTCAGTAAACATCACCCTGCTATAGAAGATAAATCATCAGTAAACATCACCCTGCTACAGAAGATAAATCATCAGTAAGCATCGAGACATTATCAAAAGAAGGAGATACAGAAACTCTACTACAATCTCTTGAACTTGATGTATTTATTAATATGATAAAACGTTGTGGGCTTAGAATATGTACATGTGTCATGTGCAGACATAGAGTAGACTCGGACAGTAACGTGTAGTGTTACAATGTACATGTGTCAGGTGCAGATATAGAGTAGACTCCGACAGTAACATGGAGTGTTACAATGTACATGTGTCAGGTGCAGATATAGAGTAGACTCCGACAGTAACATGTAGTGTTACAATGTACATGTGTCATGTGCAGATATAGAGTAGACTCCGACAGTAACGTGTAGTGTTACAATGTACATGTGTCAGGTGCAGATATAGAGTAGACTACGGCAGTAACATGTAGTGTTACAATGTACATGTGTCAGGTGCAGATATAGAGTAGACTCCGACAGTAACATGTAGTGTTACAATGTACATGTGTCAGGTGCAGATATAGAGTAGACTCCGACAGTAACATGGAGTGTTACAATGTACATGTGTCAGGTGCAGATATAGAGCAGACTCCGACAGTAACATGGAGTGTTACAATGTACATGTGTCAGGTGCAGACATAGAGTAGACTCCGACAGTAACATGGAGTGTTACAATGTACATGTGTCAGGTGCAGATATAGAGCAGACTCCGACAGTAACATGTAGTGTTACAATGTACATGTGTCAGGTGCAGACATAGAGCAGACTCCGACAGTAACGTGTAGTGTTACAATGTACATGTGTCAGGTGCAGATATAGAGTAGACTCCGACAGTAACATGTAGTGTTACAATGTACATGTGTCAGGTGCAGATATAGAGTAGACTCCGACAGTAACATGGAGTGTTACAATGTACATGTGTCATGTGCAGACATAGAGTAGACTCCGACAGTAACGTGTAGTGTTGCAATGTACATGTGTCAGGTGCAGATATAGAGTAGACTCCGGCAGTAACATGGAGTGTTACAATGTACATGTGTCATGTGCAGACATAGAGTAGACTCCGGCAGTAACATGTAGTGTTACAACGTAAATGTGTCAGGTGCAGATATAGAGTAGACTCCGACAGTAACATGTAGTGTTACAATGTACATGTGTTATGTGCAGCTATAGAATAGACTCCGACGGTAACATGTCGTGTTACAATGCGAGTTTCATGGCTCACAATGAACGTGTAATATTGGGTTAACTTGTCTTACTATTGAGATGCTAAGTTACGTGTTTGATGTCTTACGGTGAACATGTAATATTGGGTTAACTTGTCTTACTATTGAGATGCAATATTACGTGTTTGATGTCTTACAGTGAACATGTAATATTGGGTTAACCTGTCTTACTATTGAGATGCAATATTACGTATTTGATGTCTTACGGTGAACATGTAATATTGGGTTAACTTGTCTTACTATTGAGATGCTATATTACGTGTTTGATGTCTTACGGTGAACATGTAATATTGTGTTAAATTGTCTTACTATTGAGATGCTAAGTCACGTGTTTGATGTCTTACGGTGAACATGTAATATTGGGTTAACTTGTCTTACTATTGAGATGAAATATTACGTGTTAGATGTCTTAGGTGAACATATAATATTTGGCTAACTTGTCTTACTATTGAGATGCTATATTACGTGTTTGATGTCTTACGGTGAACATATAATATTGGGTTAACTTGTCTGACCATTAAGATGCAATATTACGTGTTTGATGTCTTACGGTGAACATATAATATTGGGCTAACTTGTCTTACTATTGATATGCTAAGTTACGTGTTTGATGTCTTACGGTGAACATGTAATATTGGTTTAACTTGTCTGACCATTAAGATGCAATATTACGTGTTTGATGTCTTACGGTGAACATATAATATTGGGCTAACTTGTTTGACTATTGAGATGCTATATTACGTGTTTGATGTCTTACAGTGAACGTGTAATATTTGGTGTTTGATTGTTTGTGCGGATACTGAGATTGTTTTTTAATATTTTAGTATTTATAAACAAGGCATTACCTGATTTCTGTAATGTCTTGATCCAGATTGTGTTGTACTTGGTGCTTGTTGAAAGACGCATTTCTCACCCCATCTCCGAGTATTTCAGACATCCAACCAACGTGATGCTGATCCTGTTGGCTTCTCGGCGTGATGTTCATAAAGAAGACGCAACTTCTTCACTACAGCTGATCACTACAGCTGATCACTACAGTATCGATTATAAGGATTCTTTTTTTAGCATTTGGGTTTAAATCATGACAAACTGGGTCACAACTTCTGTTTTGTCCATCAAGGAGAGCGCCCAATACGTTAAGGACATCATATTCCGCCTCTACAATTAGCCATGAGAAGGATATTATACATGCTAAGTTTTTTCGTCCATCATTAACATAATGCATTCGATGGGGAGGGTTGCATCAGTAGAAATAACGTGGTAATGACATATGTATTATTCATTCGACTGGTAATGGTGGAGCCATCAACAGCACAGGTTTAACTGTTCAGTGAGTTTCTGGATCCAATCACAAAATACGAGGATCCCTAACCAACACACGGCCAGATGGAATGATGCAACGCCGAGCCTGACTTTCCCGTATAAATATCCATCTTACAATAAACTAGTGAACATTTTATGTGTTTGTTTTCGAATGGTGGCTTGATTATAACAAAGGGACACAGTTCCTTACAGGTAGAGTGTCTCAAGTGGAAATAATTCCAAGCTTTCAGGTGTTATCTGTGTTCAGGAGACATTGTTGTGGCCGGAGAGCAATTTTAAGAGTTGTGTCAGTTTCCGCCAGAATAGTGCAATGAGCATTCCAAATGTCATGAATTATCGAAGGGGAGGCTGTGCAATACTAGTATTTGTTAAATCATATTTTTTTTAAATCCTTTAAAAAAGAAAATATTGCCTCAAAAAGCTTTTGAAGCCAATGAATTTAAGATTTTCTTTGACGAAACTAAATAATTGTGGGGAAGTAATAAAACAGACTACAAGGAAAACCTTTCAGATGAATCAGACCTGGAGATTTAAAATAATGGTAAAATAACCCGAATGGATTTGGAGAGATGGATGTTTTCTCTCTTGGACCTTTCGATTATATCCTCCTCATTAGCATCTAAATGTAACTGGGATGTGTTATGGGCAGTGATCATTTCCAAGTAATTCAGGTAAGTCGACTTAGATCTTTCAACGTAGATGTACAGGAAATTTAAAAATGCAAACTGTTCCGATTTTTCTTCTCTTTCCAAAAACATATTACACCTGAACTAATAAACGAACATTATAACATTACTACACACATTTTTGAAATATCCCAGGTTACCTTTGGAAAATCGTCAAGTAAACGATCTACTTGTATTCCCAAAGTGTGGTGGAACGATGAATGTGAAAAGGCAAACAAACCAAGAAAACAAGCGTATAAGGGTTTGTCATACTTCACTTCAATGTGACCTGGCTCTGTTCAGGAAGGAAGTGACGAGTATGGACGTGTCGTTCGTGCAGCAAGACGCTCAAGCTAGCTTAGCTTTATTTCAGGTAAAAAGATATTTACCCCATTATCTTCTGTTTTGTCTAAAATGAAAACAAACCATCATTGATTCTCATATATCGTTGCCCTATATCTGTTTTAGGCATGGGCGGCAGTAGTGTGCCCAGCGTCAGGAGGCTACTGCTCTAGCTGAACAATTAAAACAGTTAGTAGCTCTGAAAACGTCCAGAGATTTCAGAGATATCAACTTTCATGAAACCACATTTTTACCTGACATTGGGCGTCCACATTGGACTGTAGCTCTGACTTAAACATCCAGTCCTCATGTGATAAACTTAACGGTGCCATATCAAAATCACATCATTCCTCTCCTGGAGTAGAGTTATTATGTTATGAGATTTTTAAGCATATGCCTGATTCTGTTCTTTTGATAATCTGAGAACTACTAAATAATTCTTGGAGTTCTGGGACTATTCCTAAAGCCTGGACGCATGCCGTCATTGTTCCAGTACCAAAAGCAGGGAATGACCCAACTATGCCTGCTTCATATTTACCAATCACTGACTT